CACCTGGGAATCGAAAAATGCAGAGCTCGAGCCAAAGAGTCGGTACGGTGGCCGGGGTTGAGTTATCAGCTGAAAGCTTTGGTTACCGATTGCCGCGTATGCGCCGAGCACAGACACCAAAAGCCAGAACCAATGATCCCGACAACCACTCCACAGCGTCCTTGGCAAAAACTAGGAGCTGATCTCTGCCATGTTCAAGGAAAATGGTGTTTGGTAGTCGTAGATTATTTTTCTAGGTACCCAGAGATCGCTGTGTTATCATCTACAACGAGTGCCACTGTCAATACGCACCTTAAAAGTTTCTTTGCAAGACATGGCATACCGGAAGTTGTTATGTCTGATAACGGAGCGCAATTTGTGTCGCAGGAATACAAGTTGTTCGCTCGCAACTACGGGTTTCGCGCTGTGACGTCTAGCCCAAGGTACCCCCAGGCAAATGAAGTAGAGAGGATGGTCCAGACAATCAAAGGTCTCATTACAAAAGCGAAGAACCCATATCTTTCTCTCCTAGCGTACAGGGACACTCCGGGGCCACTTGGGAAAAGCCCTGCAGAACTTCTAATGGGCAGGCAGCTACGCACAACGGTGCCTGTCCATCCCACAAGCCTTCTGCCTCAGACGGTGAACCTGAGAAAGTTCAGAAGCCATGATACGACCGCCCGACAGCGGCAGCGTAGGAACTTCAACCTTCTTCATAGGGCTACTTCGTTGCGAGCACTCGAACCGGGCGCGGAAGTCTGGGTGACGGACTGCAAAGCAAAAGCGCGAGTCTTGCAACTTGCTGAGCGGCCGAGGTCGTATGTGGTTAGAACTTCCACTGGTGTAGTTCTAGAAAGAACAGGAAATCCTTGGTGCGCTTTGTTTCACATCCAAAAGAAGGTGAGGATGAGGGTGATAGCGATGATTTTCCTCAGGCAGAAGATAGTCGGGTAGAAACGGAACAGAATTCTAATCGCGTTACAGACAGCATGGCGCCTGACGATCTATCTAGCCCTTCCTTGCCGGGAACTGACCTTCCTGAATACCGAACGCGATCTGGTCGTCTTGTTCGGCAGCCGGACCGCTACGGGTTCAGTAATTGACTGTATTGTTCTTGCGCATTTTTTGTTCTGCAAAGTGTTCTTTCGCTGGCAGTGCTGCGAAGTTTGTTGCAACTGTCGGCGTATTGTTAAAGAAGGGGAAATGTGGTGATAGCGCCCAGGCGCGTCAAGTGTCCGCGTTATCTGGCACTGTCGCCCGCAATTGTAAAGTGTCGTTTGTACGTGACATCGTTGGTCACATGAGTGTCTGCTATATATGTATGCTGGTTGCATGGAATAAAGGTTGGACGTTATCTCGCGCGCATCGGAAGCGGCTCAGTCCCTTTTTCAGCTCCTACGGCCGGCCCGGACGCGCATGGCCTTTCGCTAGGGCGCAACACGACAAATAGGTGACAAAGGTTAACGACACATCCAAACATGACAGTCATGACACGAAGTCATGTATGGCATCTTTTACCTCCACCTCGTAACGTTGCGCTGATTTTAAAGTGACATCCCTATTGCAAAAACAGCGTGACGCCAGTACGTTTTTGGGCACTTGTACATGCTGGAGATGCTGGTATACGCTTGTAATCACTGGCACTTCGCTGGGCGCACTGGGAAAAATCTGTGTCGCACTGGTAGGGGCGCTGGCACAACCGCTGTAATGCTGGTGCGCACTGCAAAGTGCTCGAATTTTCACTGGCAAGCGCTGATGAATACTGGATTGGATTGGATTGGATAAACTTTTATTTGGTCCTCCAAAACACAGATCACTGTGTTGCGGGCAGCTCCCACGTGGGGACTGAGATGCCAAGCTCCTCAGCCGCCTCGCGGGCTCGGTGGACAGCCCAGAGCTGATCCGCCAAGGATGAGCTGCGGATTGCCGCCTCCCATCTGGCAGAGGTGATGTTCGATATATGAGCGAATTTGGTGCACTGCCAGAGCATGTGTTCTAATGAAGCTATTTCCCCACAATGTGGACAAAGATTACTTGCGTATAGGTCAGGGTACATGTGTAACATTTTCAAAGTAGGATACATCCGCGTTTGCAAAAGCCTTAATGTAAGTGCTTGGGGCCGGGTTAGATGTTTGTGAGGTGGAGGGAAAATCCTTCTAGACAGGTAGAAATGTTTAGTGAGCTCGTTATATGTTGTAAGAATTTCCCGGTTATCCCCTTCACCGGTAGAGCGCATCCCCAGGGAGGCGTGGTTGGAGAGTTCTCGCGCCGCCTCGGGTGCTGCTTCGTTGAGACTGGGAGGGGAATCGTTGATTTGTCCAAGGTGAGCTGGGAACCAACTCAGAAGATGATGCGTTATGTTCTTGCCTTGCAGTATTCTCAGCGTTTGTTAAGAGACCGTCCCCTTGGCGAACGCCCGTAGTGCTGCCATGGAATCACTGTAGACGACTTCAATGTTATCCATCTTGAGTGCTAAGGCGATGGCCACCTGTTCCGCAATGATTGGGTATTTCGTCCTGACCGTCGCTGAGTTGACGACATGGCCAGCCCCATCAACCCCGAAGGAGCACCCCACTGGCTTTGGATTGGCTATCGCCGAAAGCTTTGATCTTAAACGTTGACCCAAAGATTCAAATAAAACGTTAACCTTTACCGTTTTACCTTGTTTGGTATCTCTCTGTACATAGTTTGTCTGTTTCCCTGGACTCAGGGCTCACACCCACTCAGGGGGATTGGCCAAGAAAGCGTACATACCATTTATTAGTTTCTTCTCTTTTTTTGCAGTACGCATGTTTGCGTTTTTCCGTGAGCATGTTGTGATGAAAGAAAAGCGGAAGCGTGAAAGAAGGGCTTCTCATACCAAAGTAATACAGCAGGTATTATACTACGTCAGAGTTATGAAGAATTTAGTAAAATGGCTTAGTTTTAGTTTACGTTTTAAGTATAGTTTGAAACATATCCCCCCTCCGCACCTCATGGGCTGTCCGTGTTCGCCTCCCTTTCTTCGCCTCGTCGCGGCTGCAGCTCGTCGTCGCAAAAGTGCACTGCGATCGCTCATGTTTTATTAACGTTTTTTAATTGCACTAATTTTTACCTTTAGTTTTCAGCATAAAGACTGACGTTTAGACAGTTGGAAAACCAGAAAGTTCTATTGATTACCCTTTTCTTTCATTAGTTACTGCAATAGTTTAGATTTATTTACGGGCGTCACTTGGACTACTGCTAGCGTTTTTGCCGTTTAGGTTCAAGAACGCAAAAATCGGTGATTTGTCTTGAGGCACCCGTTGGGTGCAAGCAATGTTCAGCCGAACTTCTCTAAACTTTTAGCGGGACGGCTCAGTGCGCTCCCATAGCTGAGTACGAAGTACTCGAAATCGTTAAAATTTTTCCAAACACACTCGTTGCTCACTGCGGGACGGTTGTGTGCTCTCCCATAACACAGTACCTATACTCCGTTTCATACATCAGGTGCAACGCTGTGAAGGCTGGGCAAGTAGTCCGTAAAGAAAACACGAGGTGTTGCTCCGCGCGGTTTCGTAGCCGAGTGGTCTGACGCGTCGCTCCGGAGAGTTCACCGTAGTTTTGAAATGCATGGGTTCGAATCCACGTGGTGCCATTTTTTATAATTTTTACGAGTTCAATTCAAAAGCTTGTTTTTTTTCAGTAACTTCAACTTACTTGCACGCGGAAGTGAACTGCACGTATCTATTCATTTGTAGCATACCGTGTTCCCTACCAGCAGGGCCGGAACCTGCTGAGCTGGCACCGAGGTTTGACCAGCATGGCGATTCTGTCGCGATTAAACCGCATTGTCGGTTTACGTCGTTGATGTGAGCGAGTACTGCGTGTAAGATGGCGTTAGTTCATTGATTAGGTAGCACAGCAGCTCCAATGAGGCTGGGTTAACGACAGGTGCTCACCTTTAACTTTTGTTTTCGTCATTGCCCCGATGATCCCATTTTCTGTGCCGCTCTTTAAACAATCAGCAGGTTATTGATTATAGCGGGCCGCCGGCAGAGAAACCTGTTCAGTTTTAGCAAAACAGTGCGGAATCGACCTTCCACTGCACTGTGCGGTATCCCGACGTACTTCGTGCGAGTAACGAATGATATGTTATTCAGGTAAAAGGGAAGAGAGCTAATTTGTGTAGCTCGGAATACTGATTTTGGCACACAAACGCTTAAAACATTTCCTAGACTTGGTATTCACCCGTTTACTGTCTTAATATATGCGACATTTTTGTGAATTGTTATGCGCGATTTATTTCTTCAGTATAATTCCAACCCATCCTCCTTCCCGCAAGTAAGAGTTCCTTTTTTATCGTTCAAAAGAGAGTTTCAGCTAGGCTGTTATTCGGCAGAAGCTCTAAATTTTAATTTATGCGTCAATCGTTTTTTTTTATAAAAACCTGGATATGGCCTGTTTTTCTCGGTTGAGAAAATTTCTATGGTATAGGGTAATTCAGTGCCTAAACATTGTACTGGCTCAAAAAGTTGGAGATTTGTTCCATACAAACATACATCTAGGGGCAATACTCATTGCGTGCGATGGACCAATATTCCAAACGAATGACGACTTTTGTGGTTTAAAAAACGCAAACTTTATTTACAGAAGAGCACCTCTGGCCGATGTCGTGGTGGGTTCCGACATCTTCTTTTTTTTCCTTTTTTATACCAAGTTCTTACAGAAGTCATGTGACCATTCCAAACGTTTGCACTTCACAACAAAACATAAATAAGGTAATTATTAGGGAGCAGTACAGTGCAGTGTCTTTCCTAGCCCGGGTCACTTGGCAACGTTAAATCCAACACACAAAATCACACGATGAGGAAGCACTCTTTGCTTTGTCATAATAACACAGCCTTCTTGGGGAATGAGCTCTGCATGCTGTGCAGCTCTCGTGCTGTGCTCTACATGAGCACAGCACGAGCAGGTTCGCTAGAAAGGTGTCCACAATCCAGCTCAACCAGTCAACCCTCGTGAACAAAGCCACCACTGACAGGCCGCACATTCCTCGAAAGTCAGCAAAGTTCTTCAATGCGACTCAACTCGTCATCACTGAACTGAGCACCCGACTCATCGGAGGAGGAGTTGCACGAATCACAAATGCAGAAGACAAGTGGTTCGATTTCACTATCCACAATCATGTCCCGTTCCCATGCTTTTGCTTCAACTTGCTCTACATGAGCACAGCAGTTTTGCCACTTTTCCTGTTTTACAGATGCCAGTGCTTATGGCAGAAGCTTCTCTACTTCAGCCAAAGTGAAACCCGTATTCCGTGCTGCGATGTACCCCTTTACCTGGCTCCAAACAAGCTCGATTGGGTTGAACTCGCAGTGGTATGGTGGTACACGAAGCACTTCATGGCCGTGGGTAACCGCCAGAGTGTCGATGCGGTACACAATACTGGGTGTGTTGACCTTTTGGGAAAGTTCCAGCAGTTCAGCTCTCACCATGTCCTCTGACCACGGAACACCTTTCTTTGTGAGCCAAAGCTGAATATCAGCTTTGTGCGTCGACTTGGTAGGTGCTTTCTCAAGAGCTACGCTGTTGATTGATTGATTGATTTGTGGGGTTTAACGTCCCAAAACCACGATATGATTATGAGAGACGCCGTAGTGGAGGGCTCCGGAAATTTTGACCACCTGGGGTTCTTTGACGTGCACCCAAATCTGAGCACACGGGCCTACAACATTTCCACCTCCATCGGAAATGCAGCCGCCGCAGCCGGGATTCGAACCCGCGCCCTGCGGGTCAGCAGCCGAGTACCTTAGCCACTAGACCACCGCGGCGGGGTGAGAGCTACGCTGTGGTATGGCGCATTGTCCATGACAATAACGCTCTTAGGCGGAATGTTTGGCAAAAGCTTGTCGGTGAACCACTCCTCAAAGTATCTGCCATCCATCTCAGAGTGGTAGTCAGCGCTGCCCCCCTTTTTTGCTCGGAAGTAGTCAGCAGCTCCTTCGATGAAACCAGTTGCACTGCTGCCAGCATGTACGAGGATCAAACGGGCCCCTTTGCCCGAGGGTGCAGCCAATCCTGTCGTCAGACCTTTGAGGAAGGCATCTTGCGATGACTTCACAGTCGTGTCCGGCCAAACGTACTCCTTCGTGTGCCCTGCGTTGACCCATGTTTCATCCAAGTAGATGATGCACCTGTACAAAGCAAAACGAACGAGTGCACGAGTTAGCGCACACAAGTAAACATACCCACAGCAGCAGCTTGAGTCTTGGCATGACCATAGTCGAAAATACTGCAAAGGACAACTTGAGCAAAAAGTACAAAAAGCATTCATATGCATATTTTATTTTCTTTGTTACCCACTCATATGCTGACTGCTCTTTCGTAAACAGCTGCTTAGCGTCAATCGAGGAAAAAAACGGTCGGCGTCAGTGCTTTCTTTACTCGGGCTTTAGTTCGGCACGTATGTGGCATTTGGCTGTCAGTTCTGATTCATGGCAAGTTCACATGTCACACATGAGGTATTCGGTAAGAATTCATTGGCCGTCGCTATCATTTTGCACGAATGGAAACCAAAATAGACACCAAAATTCCCAACAATGCTGCCAGTAACTCGCATCTTTCATGGGAATGAGCGCTTACCGCACCAGCGCTCATTTTCATCAAAGATGCGGCGGAGATTTAACGAATAACTCTCACCGATTGAGGCAAATACCCCCACCCAACAAAACATAAGTCGTGGAATGCGACCTGCAAGCAATTACCTTGCTTAACCGTTTTCTTTTTTCCAGGTTGTAATTCAGATGTAATACTCTCCATTACGATTATAAAGTCGCAATGCTAACATTAAGTGTTATATCAAGGCAATCTACATGTGCTGCGTAAGGAAATATGAAAATAACGGTTCCCACCTGCCCTGTCCTCGATATTTCTTGATCGCCCGCAAGTACCTGCGACACCAGGCAATGATGTCACTGCGCTCGATTAGCGCAAGATTTCGTTTTCTCTTAGTAAAGGTGAAGCCCATGTCCTTCCTTAGCCTCCACAATGTGGTTTTCGTGAAGTTCGGCAAGTCGTCGTCTTCGTTGACAGCCCTTATCACACTGTCCTGTGTTGGGATCTCCCTCTTGGCGTACATGCTGTGCACTTTCAGACGAATGGCATTGATTGTCAAGCGGTCATGTTTGACGGTTCGCGAGCTCGAAAGCTTCACCTCGCGAGCTCGTTTTTTCGGTGACACCAAAGGCCCACGCAGACGCTCCGCCTTCAATTTCGCCACGGTACGGGGAGATATTCCATTGTCCTCGCTCACAACACTCAGCACTTCCCGCACAGATTTCTCCGGGAAACGCATCCTGGTACGGGCGTACACATTTGCAATTACTTGCTTGGCGTGCTTTGACAGCTTTGAAGTGCGAAGCTTCGAAAAAATTCGCGCAGGAGAGGTGGTCGAGGACGCAGAGCTGGACGCCATTTTTTCGAAGCTGTCACAACACGTAAAAAAAAAAACGGCGGCGCGGGTCGCGCGGAGAGCGAAAACCTGATACGAAAGCGACAAAAATAAATTACCAACTCGCATAATTGGATTGTTTATCCGACAACACAGGTGTTTGTTTTTATCCCTGATGACAAATAAGTATGCTTAGAAGTTTCCCGAGAAGCATCTATTGATTTTCGTACACCCAAGCGACGCACTACTTTTTGGTCGCGGCAGTACACAGCGCAAACAAGAGCGCTAGCTTTGACAGCGTTGCATATGATGTATGAAACGGAGTATAGTACTGTAAATAGTTACCCACTTTTTTCAAATCATAATTGGATGATTAGGGGTTGATGAGTGGAATGTATTCTGGGACGCGGCGCATGTCACTGCTTTGAGTTCTTGACATACGCTGAGCAAACACATCGTGTCCTGCTACAGCGGCGTTGATGACGAAGAATTGTCGAGCATGAGTGGAGTGTCTTATTGCTCCACTTTATTGACGTATCACCTAGGAACTCGTAAATGATGACCAACTAGTAGTAGGTTATGCATTTGTCCTCAAGTTCAATGTTAGTGTACAATAAAAAAAGTCACAGCTCTCCCGCAAATGCGAAGGAATGATCGCATTGGAAACAAATTGTAAGGTCACATGCAAAATAGAAAGCAGAACGAAATGTGGCCCGCGTTTCTGACGCACAAATAACGCACGAGACGTACTCGCAGGTACAGTTGTTACTTCGCTGTGCCTGAAAAGCGTGCGCTTTTCGCAAACAGAGACTGTAATCAATGCAGTAACCTTTGTGCGCACGGTAAATACAACAGAATTGTTCCAGGTAAAGCTCGAAGCCAGCCAAGACGTACGATCTTCCCCACAACGAGATAAGGGTGCGCGAGGGAGCGTCGTTCCCCTTTTTTAAGCGGGGCAAAAACCGCGTTAGGATCCGCAGCGCGATGTGGCGACGCGCGCTCATTGCGCCATCTTGCTGGTAATGCTGAAAATGCAATGCCTCCCGAAATGTCCGTCAGCAGCTGTAATTGGTAGATCTTAATAGCTCGCCATTTGAACGTTGGAGAAGCTGCTTCTCGGTAGCGCAATGGTTAACGCCTAACATTCACGATTCAGAGGACCCAAGTGACAGTAGCGGCGGCGCTGTAGTCCAATGGTACTGAAGATCTCGGGAGCGTCTGCATTGGGAGCGCGTGCTCTGTTGCCTGCGACAGCGTGCAATTGCACGTCGTTTTAGTGCGTCTAATGCGTTTATCAGGCTTTCTCAGTGTATGCACACTTGCGACGTGCCAAGGTGCACGAGTGAATGAGCAGACATGTCAAAATTGCGTTGAGGCATTCTCTTTCAAAGGCCTGCCGAAACCCCCAACCGCACCACCACCACCAAAAAAAAAGATATTGCCAGTGCTGCGGCACTCACCCGTCTACGCTGCCGCACATGCTGTGGGAGCGCCCGGCATAGTACAGACGCAATAAGCTACGACCCTTTCTTCGTAGATCCATGAGGCTTTGCCGAGCTGCGTTCTTGACTACCAAACCTGGGCGACCCAGCATGCCCGTGAGGCTGCGTCGAGGCAAGATCTTGACGTCCTATCATCGGAGGCCTAGGCCCGGCCACCTAAACTTGCTGGTTTTTTATAATAAAGTTTATTCCTCCTCTTCCTCCACGTACAATAAGAGTTTGCAAGGATCCGCCTAGCGTCTCATTCAAGCAGCGCTTTGAGTTGTTATAAATCATAAGTGGCTACTGGCGAACTACAAAGACACACGTATTAAAGCTAAAAACCACGATTAAATCATACGCTAATCTTGTCGGTAGTCTCTACGATACCCAGAGCACTGTTCCACATATGGGCCCACATGCGGTCGATTGTTTCATGAGAAACCAGAGTATATGTGACGTTGTCACAACATAATATCGGTGATGATTTGTGGAAAATAGTGCCAGTTTTGTGGAAAATAGTAATCAATGCTTTCTGAAAGGCTTATTCTGCTTTGACCTCGTGCTTTTGTGCTTACTTTGCTTCTTATATGCAAGTACCAACTGATTATTATACCAAGAGTCCGATCCTGGGAGCCGAGCTGAAGGAACGCGTGCACCTCCAAGTCATCAACTCTGCGCGAAAGGTGGTTATCTTGAACATATTAAGAAAAAATTCGGTTGTTTATGTGTAGCCTGCGTAAATTCACTGTATCCTGTTCTCATTTTGTATCGACAGCTTGAATTGTGCTGCTTTCAAAGTATTCCATTGGCGTAACGCCATTGCAAGCCAGAATCTAAGACGATGTTTTGTAAGATATTGATATTGTTTTTCTTATTAAGTGCATTTCGTTTTGGGAAATTTAGCATTTAGCTTTATATGTACACACCCCTAATATATATATATATATATATATATATATATATATATATATATATATATATATATATATATATATATATATATATATATAATATATATATATATATATATATATATATATATATATATATATATAGAGAGAGAGAGAGAGGAGAGAGAGAGAGATGAGATCTAACAGGCATTAATGCCATGGAATGTATACTAGTACCAATGTAAAGTAAATAACAAGAAAAAAGTGGGTGAAAAAATAACTTGCCGTGAGCAGGAATCGAACGTACGGCCTACGAATAACTCGTTCGATGCTCGAACGCGTTATTCACCTATTCACTTATTAGGGAGTTTTAGAATAGCGCACCGCGAGCCCTTGCGGTGCGGTCGCTGCCACTGCGCATGCTCCGTAACGCGAGTCGGCGTTCGCGTTCGCGGACCGCACGCAAAAAATCCGAAATTGCGTGTGGTAATGGCAGCCCGCATGTGGCCAGCCAGCGCTGGTTTCGAGGATACGGTGTCGTTGCAGTCGTGCGTTGCGGATCACAGCAGGGCAAACGCTATTACAAATCTCATATGGCACCCGCAACGCCCGCAACGCCCGCAACGCTTGCAAACGGTATTCTAAAACTCCCTATTCACTCACTTATGTCGCATTCGATACCTCGGGGAGAGTTCGAACTTCACAAAACCTGTACAGTTGGCCTTGCTCCACCACAAACCTGCGCTCAGAAGTCGCATTGGGCACTATCCTAATCGGGATAATTTTCTATCTTTTTTTTTCACAGATTTGCCACTGACCAGCACCGAAGCGGTCGAAATGAACCTCATAGACGCAGCGTGTCAAACAGATTTCTCCCTGGTTGAATGTTCCAGCTGAGCTGAAGTGCAGAGGCTGCAGTGCAAACTTCCAGCCACGAAAGAGCTGTTCCGGAAGTGTCAAGCCAATCTTGCCGAATTTCGAAAGCAGAGATAGCGTAGGAGTGCAAATCTCTGTTGATAGCGCTCACGTGCGTGTCGACAAACGGGCGTGTAGCAGCTCGCGTGTTTACAAGCGACAGCGCTTTGTTGCGAATACATTGTGTTTTATTTCGCTCAAAAGCTTAGTTCGAAAACTCGACCTGTCGCAGTGTTGAGACTGCCGGCGTTCACCGTGCCATGACGGCCGCATTTCGATGCGGGTAAAGTGCAACAGCAGGTGGCGAAAATGCGCCATAATTCCACTGCTACAACATCATGTATTGGTGCGTGAAACCGCGACTCTTTGTTTGTAGAGAAGAAGTGATTACAAGCTGTTGGTTGCAGCAGTGCGGAAGCCATAGTCTCGGGCTGCTCACCCATATTAATTCAGTCTTCGGGATGTATTCAGCTTCGTCTGCTGCTCTCACGGGAGCGAGCAGACGGCAGCGTCCAACGCTCTCAGCGTTAAAGCAACGCTAAAGAGAACCAGTGACTTAGTTTGAATTGATAAAGCGTATACTCTGAGAATTCTAATGTCATTGGTTTCACTTCCATAAGTTCATTATTAGCGAATCAAATCAAGGCCGGAGTTTCAATTTTAAGTTTCGCGCTCGAAATGCGGCGCCTTACTTGCCTAACTTCCAATTTAGTTTCTCTATTTTCACGACATTGGCTCGGTTAAATTTTCCAAAACATCGTATGCTATGTCTGTGGCACCCACGAATGACAATTCACTGAAGTTTTATGGTGTACAGGCTACGTAGGACTCAGTAGACGCATTCGAAACGTATTACGCACGTTATTTGGGGCGGGAATCTCAAATTAGCGCCTCCACCAGCATTTCCTTCTCACGCGTTCTCTCGATTTCCAAGTGAAGCAGGAGTGGTGTTTCCGAGATCTTGAAATTTCGCTTTACTAATGCACGAAAATTCGTCTCCGTCGTAACTATTTAGCCGCTACAGCAACGCCTCAAAATTAACATGGCGGCACTCGTCGAAGCTGCTTCCTTGTTATGGTGCCACAACCTTCCGTCTCGAAATCATCAAAACCTCGTGGTAAGTTGTGTGCCCCGTACGTTCAATACGTTCTAGACGAATTATTTGCGCTGTATTTTCGTTCTTGCTTTTCGATGGCGATGTTTTTGTGCCTATTTCGCACTGTTTTAAGGGTGCACTGTTTAATTCTCGGGGACAACTCTTAACAGGCCTGGCTGTACAAACAGATGACCTCACTAATACAGCCAAAACGTACCTGATACTTTGTTGCCAGAACGAGATGATACAAAGCGACAGCCGCGATTCCGCCGTTTATTTATTGCAGTCAAGAGAGATGGGCATGTATTGCAAGTGTGAGTTCAGATCGAAGTGGGTGATTGCTGTGTTGGTTCGCCAAGCAGTGATTCGCCGTCTCAGTTATGGGCAGTTACCGACACAATAATTAAGTGCATATGACGTACACGCCAATTGTGATTAGTGTATTACGCAGTGCTTTGACATTCGTAGACTAATCGTTCATGCAAGTCTGATGCTTCTATGCCAAGGAGCGCGTCCGAC